CAGTGTGAATGAAGCATAATGGTGCAAACCCATGCAGCAGAATAACGGAACAAGAGCAGAATCAATAAACGTGTTTTCGTTACGCGGAATCTCTTCATCTGTATGGAGCGCAATGAGCGCAAGCAGAATCAACAGCAAGTCCATAAATGAATTTAAATATTGTATTTGTCATTCATTTTTTATTATCATGTATCTAGTACAGAATTAAATGCATTTCTCATTAAAATAATGATTAAAGATGTTAAAATTTATGTATTATATAATGTAATAAAATTTATTTATTATTTCGCCCTATGTTTAACGTTTCACAGTTGGCAGCCTTAATGTCTTATTGACATTCATAGACAGAGATGGTGGAAATTCAAAGAGAGATGCTTGCAAATTGCACATATTATGTTATCTCTTCCATCATGGTTGAAAGCCATATAAAACGATACAATTATAGACTTTATTGCTTCTGCGACAGATTTCCTAACCTCAAGTTGTCAACTTTAACGCTTAATATCTTGTTTTGCGGCAGAGCGACAATTTTTTCTGCCAAATTCTTTTATTTTATGCAAAAATATGTCGAATAAGTCTAATTTTATTGTAACTGTATAATTATCATAAGAATAAAGGAATATTTTGATAAAGCATCTGACGGAATTTTGAAATTCAGAGTTGGCAACATTGGCCTAGTTTTCACCGAGGATGTAATCCGGATCAGAATGTAAGAACCAACCAACTATATAGTCGAGTATTCCCGAATTATAATCAAACGACAGGAGAATGCTCGACTGTTGGTTGGTGAAACCACACAGTACGGAATGGGATTGCGGAATAGAGAATGCGTCATTATTCTTATAATAAATCATATTTTGAGAAATTAAAATAATTTGATGCTGATTGATATAATGGAATTACGTAATGTCGAGACGAATGAAGCAAAACGACAAAATTTGAGTACATAAATATAGATATTAAGATTAAAAAACAATGATACATTACGTGCGATTTCAGTGTGCCTTTTTCTGCACTTTTCCATCATGCCAATTTTGTGTGCTATGTTCACATGATGCGGAAAAATAATGATAATAAATGCGTTAAAGCGATTCAAAAAATTGTTATGAGATTGTAAATATTAATTGTAAAACATAAATATTACAACAGTATTTACAATTGTTTTTACAATTTGAAAAATTATGTTTTAATAAACATTATTATTAACAAATTATTAACATGAAGTTAATAGTTTTTAAATTATATTCATGCTGGATACATTTTTGATGCATCATGTGAACATAGCACACAAAATTTGCGTGATGGAAAAATGCGGAATAGCGCTGATTGATTCACCCTAAAGGGTGAAATCACACAGCTGATTCCCGTACCGTGTGATTTCACCCTTAGGGTTCGATCCCATGATGCGGAATTAGCGCAATGCTTGTGATTGGTCGTGGCTTCTATCAATTCCATTCCGCTAATATATTAGGTGTACAATTTTGCTTCCGCCGTTTTTTTCCGAAATTCGAGGCTTTATTGTAAAAAACTGGTTATACATTTATGATTCAAAGTATTGTCCATCGCTGGCCATTACTTTCTCCCATCTTTCGGGTAGCGTACGAATCCCGCGTCGAAAAAACTGGTCATCTTTTGAGGCTATCCACGAATCGATCCAATTTTTTACTTCTTCATAAGACCGGAAGTGCTGGCCAGCCAGGCCGTGTGCCATTGATCGAAACAAGTGATAGTCAGAGGGAACAACGTCTGGAGAATACGGCGGGTGGGGTAGGACTTCCCATTTCAAGTATGTTCCCGTTTCAAGTATGTCTTGACCACTTTCGCAACAAGGGATCGAGCATTGTCATGCTGCAAAATCACTTTATCGTGTCTCTCGTTATATTGTGGCCGTTTGTCTTTCAATGCTCAGCTCAAACGCATCAATTGCGTTCGATACCGATCGCCTGTGATTGTTTCAGTCGGTTTTAACAGTTCATAATACACTACGCCGAGCTGGTCCCATCAAATACAGAGCATGACTTTGGACGTCAAAATCATCGTTCTTAAAACGTTGGAACTACTCACGATACGTTCTTTCATTAATAGCGGCCTCACCATTTGTATTTGAGAGCATTCGATGAGCCTCAGCCGCAGATTTCTTCATATTGAAGCAAAAAATTAAAACCTCCCGCAAATGACGAGAATTTGGCTCGTAAACTGACATTTTCAATCGAGAATAACTTTATGATGCAGACACAAATCGACTAATGTTTCTATGGGGTTATGTTGACAGATGCCCAAGTTTATTGTATGACGTCTATAATCTATTTATTTCGACCACACACGCTAAAGCCATCTATAGGAAAACGGCGGAAGCAAAGTTGTACACCTAATATATTTTCCTATGTCCTATATATGTGGCGCGGAATTTCTGCAATGCGCAATTAGCGTTGACCAATCACAAGAATCTTCCCGTAAATCAGTTTCATTAGATCATTAGATCGGAATAGCGTTTGTCATTAATTTGCATTGATTATGCATCTGCAAGTTCCGCTCCATGGGACATAGGAAACTAAATTTCTGCGGATCGGAAATCACATATATATACAGGGGACATTGCCCCGATTTCACTTTGTGTACCCATTTTGATTTACATTTTCGCCTTTCTATATATATATATATAGAAAGGCGAAAATGTAAATCAAAATGGGTATATACGACATTCGTGTTCTGACCATATTAACCTCCATATTTATTTTAATTAATTACCTTCAGGATTATGTTGAAATTCCATTATCACTCCATTCTTGTTATTTATCAAATGTTAAACAAGAGTGACACCTGGATAGGAATCCGAACACACCAGCATGTTAATTAACCATGTGCTTATAGGAGACAGTTTTCTCCATTTAAACCAGCTTAACAAGGTTAATTTTTATAAGTATATATGCGTTCGGAAACATTCGTTGATGTGCTACTAATACACACCAGTCATTCGGAAATACTTGTGTACTCGATGTAGACAATATGAGAAATATCAAGAGAGTCACACCGAGTGTCACTAAACCACTCACGCGAAAAGCTAGCGGAATCGATGTAAGCCGGTGTGTGTTATAACCGTAGCATAAGACTTGCATAATGTATAATGCATAAGGGAATCGACCAATCGAAATTCGAAATTTGAAAGGAATGACTTATATTATTGAGTTGTCCGGAAAGTTCGTGCCAACTAAAATTTAAATTTTAGTATACATTTATTAAATTAAAATTTTCTGTGTTTCAACATCCTGCATCTTTCAACATCGGCACGAACTTTCCAGACAACCCAATATTTTCTTTTTACTCATATGTCACCGTCATTCCATTTTACAATCATTTCACCGCCTTTCTTCATCGGTGAATTGTTTAGCTTGAGATTAGGGTTAAACGTGAACGGTGAGGTGGAATTGAGATGACACACACGCCACACGGAAGTTATTCGGGAATACCACCCAAAGGCACACGATACCCTCATTACTTATTCACTGAAGTCACCGAAACACAGCAACGAGTGATGTTTCTGAACGCAGCCCAAAATAGGAACATAAGACTGTGATATCGAAACATCGAACGAATAATAAAATTCATTCTGATAATTATTTAGAAGAGGATCTTCTGATTTTGATAAAATTAATCTCATTCAACACGTTTTTGCATGAAACAAAAGAATCTGATAGAAAAATGTGGCAGTTAGCCTTGTAAATCGAGCTATCAAGCATTCATCGATTAAAATTCGAGACTTTAGAGATTAAGGTATCTGTTATCCCGACTTGATACAGCATAATGTATTTCTGCTTTAATTATATAACTTCATTGCTTTAAAAAACACAAATTTTATGCTTGAAAAACACAAACTGCTAATGTAGAGAATTTGTAAAGCAGTGAATTATTATTTTTAAAACAGATAATTTATGTTTTTAAGTAGTACTTAAAGTTACATTTATTTTTCATAATAAAAAATAAATTTATAATTATACATTAATCGTTTTAATTTTAATTATTGTATGACTGAATATTTCATTCTACTACAATATTTATTTGATAATTTTTATTATTGTTTAATAATCTGTCTTGTTTAATAAAATGTCTAATAATCATACTTATTTTTTTCTATATTTATTTCTCAACATATTTATTTATTTATTATATATTTAATGATTACCTATACAATATGAACATAATAGTAAAAGTAAAAATATTTGAAAAATAAAACACAGAATGATATATATGGATTTACGGTATTAATGTAAATATGTTAAATAATGGATATTATTTTACTTTCTTCTTCTTTTCTTATTTTAATTTTATTTTTTAATTTTATTTTTAAGAATTCTATTATTTAATTCTATATTATTCTAATTCTTCTATATTACTTTTTCCAGAATAGCGATTATTATGATTATTAAATAAAGTAAAATTTTCCTTTAAAAATATCTATAAACTTTATTTTATATGTATATACACATGTCACCTTGTTTTATATGTATATATACACACGCACGCATGCACCCACGCGCGCGCGCGCGCACATACACACAAAAAGACACACACACACACACACACACACACATTTTAATAATGGTATCTTTTATAACAAATAGTATCCATTTATTTTATAATTTTATTTACTATACAGTTTTCCAGCAATAAACATAGATGACATAATCTAAAACAATTATTCAATTTTATCCTTATTGTTTGCAATATTAAACAAAGATGAAATAATTTATTGTGATACATTGCATCATATGCATCTTTTATTTAAAAACGTTCATATTAATCAGTGTATCGTAATTTAGTTAAAATATATTTAAATGTGAACGCGTATACAGTTCTCAAAATGGCCACAGATCACGTGACTTTGTCTCTCGTACATCAAATATGCCGACGCTCAGTGTCGCAACTGGTATATCTAGATTGTGCCATTGTTTCTGATTCCACCATACATCATCATGTGCATTGTGCATCATGGATATTCATAACTCGTGACCAGTCGTGACTAATGATTTAACTTTGGTGTGTATTTGGCCATTTAACCTAAATTCCATTAATAATATCTATACAAAACGTGACAAATGTTCTAATGTGTATTGGAAATATTATTATTTATTCTGTTGATATATTTGAAAGGAAATCGTATAAGAAATGCATTTGATTTTAGCTGCGTTCTGAAAACGTGTACTGTTTTATTATGTTATTCATTCTGAATGTTAAACAAGACGGTATATCATGCGCTTTACAGAACGCAGCTTATAGTATATCATTCACTATTCATCAATTACGCAAACATCTTTTTTGGCTATTTTGTGATCGAATTTTTGTATTTTTATATCTGCGGCCTTTTTCCATCTATATTTGATTTTACGATAATTTAGTACACAATCACAAAAATGGATAAAAAAATATATCTTACGCGGCTTTTCATGAAATAAACGAATCTGACAGAAAAAGTGTTGCTCTGTCATGTGAATTAAGATATTAATGGTTAAAGTTGACGACTATTTAGATTAGGTATTAATCTGTCACAGATCATGAAGAAAGACTTTTCTCTGTTCTCTCTATGTGTGAAGAATTGTAAATTCGTATAGACTAGTTCATGGGTTTTCAACTTAGCACACAAAATGAAATTAAACTTAAAAGATTGGTTTTGATTTAACGTGGGCCGGAGGGGGGAGAGACAGGAATTCTCTGTACACAGAGTATCTTTCACTACTCTCGGTTAAATTAATCGACTTACATGAGGCTCATTTAGGCTCATTTCTACCAATGTAGATTAACTTTAATCTCTGTTCAACTTTATATCTTTTTCTAATTTTCAGAATTGGAAAAAGATGAAGAATTAGTTAAACTGAGATTAAAATTAGACTATATTTTTAGAAACTGGCCTTAGTTTTGCAACTCATGATTAACTTTTAATCGAAATTTAACTTATTTTAAGTTAAATCTCTGTTAAAAATTAACCATGAATTGTGAAATTGGACCTAAATAAGCTCCATGTAACCGTCGGTTAACTTAATTAAGATTGGTAAAAGAAACCCATAATAAAGTAAATAAGATCTAGTTTTTCAGCTGAAATTTTTGCACTGTTTATCTTTCTTTTTTCATGTTAAAGAAAAAAAGATGAACTGTGCAACAAGTGTAGCTAAAGTGTGTCTTCCAACAAATGACACAGTGATCATCTTTGTTTAACATTAGTAAACAAGGATGTAATGACCTATTGTGTCACAATGTATCATTTGTGTCTGACATGGTATGACAATGGATCATTTCATCCTTGTTGTTTGCCAATTTAAACAAAGATGACATGATCACTATGTCGCACTGTGTCGCTTGTTAGAAGGCACACAAAAAGAACAGGCCTGTACATATACTTCATGATTGGGAGGATTCTGTTGGATTCTGCCTCTCTCTCTTCCCCCCTCCCCTCTCTGCATCTATATGTATGTGAAGGGTTCCTACCCTATTTCATCCTCTTTCATAAAATCAATCAATCCTTTTAATTAAATTTCATTTTGCGTGCCAAGTTGGAAATCCATGAACAAACATGAGTTTACAATTTTTCACACATAGCAAGAATAGAGAAAGGGTTTTTTTATATAGAAAAATAGGAAAAATATAATCAATGTGTCAAGACTTTTTTTAAAAATAAGCATAATTACAGTTACTCAAAAAATAGAATTTGTTTTTTAATTACATACGCACAGCGCTACAAAATTCATCAAACGTTTCGACTTACAAAGGGATTATATTAGGTGTAGTAAAAAGAAATCCATTATTTTTGCATGAAATTGAATGGAAAAATAATGGATTTCTTTTTACTACACCTAATATAAAAAAATTTTATGTGTTATAATGTGTTATAATAAAATTGTTGTTCAAATCTAATTTTACATACTCATTTCTGCGTTAGAATATTAAAAATCGAAATAGGTATCCAGTCAGAAGTTTGGAAGTTCAAATTGTAAAAGTGTGTTTTAGTAATTCTTCGATTGTTATCGAGAATCCAGCTCAGTTAGTAATTTAATAAAAAATACGACAATCCGATTGAGGATTTCTTCAACAACTGTTACTATATTGTCTTACTATATTCTGTATAATTAAATAAAAGTTTTTTTTTTATGGCTGTGGCAGACAGTTAACACAATGTGAGACAACAGCGATAACAATAGCAATAGAAACAGAGGAATCTGACATTCGGGAATATATGCATATATCAATGTACATAGGAACATCATGGTGGAAGTACACTTACTTCCACTATGTAGGAACACAGAGTAAAGCAATAGCGATAAATTTCCGACGAGTTGGAATTCTGTGTCTACCTTATAGCCTACCAATCAGCGTTCAGATTTTTTATTTTGTTTATATGTATATATGTTGTAATATATATACTTTGAAGCAGATACAAGAATACTAATATATACATAAATATAATAGAGAACGGCAATAATCGGTCAAAGTAGATGTTATGAATATAATATATATTCTTAAATTTATATATTTTAAATTTAATTGTGGAATATATGAAATCTATATACGAGATCAGATTAACATTTTTATTTCTTTTGCAGTATTGCAACGGAAGATGACAATTATATATCGCTTATTTCTATGCTATTCCTATTGCTATTCTTGCTTCACATTGTGTCTAAGGCTTAACTTCTAATCTGAATAGTCGGCAACTTTAATAATTAATATTTTGATTTGTAGGATAGAATCTTTCTTTTCTGCTAGATTCTTTTGTTTTATGCAAAAATATACCGAATAAATCTAATTTCATTGATTCTGACTAAGCCTATCTCCTAATTACCTCCTATTATCTCCTTCATAATCTTAAAAACAAATATAATTAATATGCATTTACACAATTAACAATGATTTTTTTATCTTTGTTCTTACGTGAAATTAGATATTGGCCAACAATTAAAATGGCAGAGGCAATAATGGATAATTCTGGTAGACTTATGAAGATGGAGGTGGATTATAGCAATACTTGCGATATAAAAGTTCCAGAATGCAAAAAACTAGCTTCTGAAGGAAAGCTGCATGATGCCTTGGATCAATTGTTAGCTTTAGAGAAACTTACCAGAACTGTTAAGTATACATTAATACTGTAAAGTAAGAAATATTTACACATACATATGTATGTGTGTACAGAAGGGTGCACTTAAAGTTTGCAACGCTCCAGTGTATTATTTCATTTTTATTTGCTGACGAGAAGAATGAAATGATACTCGAGAGCTTGTGAACATTAAGTGAAACGTACCCATAGTCGTATTTAATATATATGTCAAAGTGTTAATTCAATAAATGTATATATTTATAGTCAATGTGTACATACTATTTGATAAGTAAATGTATTCACACAAGCAATGAAATTTAAATTTTTATTGATGCATACATTTTTATATATAAAAAATATTAGGTAAAATGTGCGTTTTTTAACAAAAAGTACCAAAACGAAAATTGTAAAAAATTCAATTATATTTTTAATGAGATTAAAATGATTGTAGTACATTCCATAAGTTTTGACTAGTACAAATGTACAAAAGAATATTTTTCATTATTTTCTCCATTATTAAAACTAATTATCATAGAAGAATGAAAGAAAGAATAGAAAGTGAAAAGAATATGAAATTATTTCTTGGACAAAAATCAGAGTATCTTTAAAAAAGTTCTACTGTTGGTAGCTGAAAAAACACTTTTTTTATACTTTTGAAATCGGTTATCACAAAACCTATGGAATGTACTATAATCATTTTAATCTCATTTGAAAGATAATTCTCTACAACTCTTTCGTTTAGATACTTTTTGTTAAAAAAAGCAATATGTTTTCCCAATAGTTGTAAAAATCGTATAAAATAATCAAGATTTCAAAGATTTTTGGACGCTAACTTTTTAAGAAAGCATTTTTCGACGATCCATGTTTATAGGAAACTTTTTGTCCAGAATTAAATTTCAAAGTCTGGCCAAATCTTCATGATATACAACTGTACACCATTCTGTGTATGTATACAATAGGATATTGTTATATATCACAAACAAATCTATAGCATATGTTGTTACTGATAATAAATTTATTCATTTTTTTTTTAACCGCACTTTAATATCCTCACAAAAATGTGTTTCACAAAAATGATTATTCTAATAAGTATTAGGACTCCATTACATTAATGTGATAGATTTCGCTGCTTCAAAAGTGATAAACTTCTACGATTAATGTTTTGATTCGTGGAGGCAGAGCAATGTTTTGTCTGCTAGATTTGTTTCATTTCGGATTTGTTGTTTCATTTCGGATAAAATGCGTTGAATATAATTTCATTTTTTAGCTGAAAAAAATAATTATTGTATTACTAAAATGTATACTTTTACTGTGATAATTGATGACTCTTAATATGTTTTACTAATGTGTTATAATAAGTGTATCATCTAGTAAATATGTTTATACCAATAGTAGACATTTTATATTCAATACTTTTGTTAAAACCTTACGTAATTGCATACATTGACTAAAAAGTATATAAAATTTTACGCTTTGACTGTAACATGTACATATTTAGAAAAATTATTTTTAAACTCTTATGTAGGTTGCCGATATGGCATCAACATCCAGACTTCTTATAGCCATAGTTGAAATTTGTTTGGAGGCAAAAAATTGGTCAGCGCTTAATGAACACATAATTTTATTATCAAAACGGCGCTCTCAACTTAAACAAGCTGTAACAAAGATGGTTCAAGAATGTTGTACTTACATAGACAAAATGCCTAATAAAGAAACCATGGTAAAACTAATAGAAACTCTTCGTTTGGTTACAGAAGGGAAGGTAAATACATTTTCAATTAATATACTATACGTATATACTATACGTATATTATATATACTATATATACTATACGTATATACTATATACATTATATATACTATATATACTATACATCAAGAGGATTAAGCCCAAATCAGACTAGATTGAGATTGAATTGAAATTTAAACAATAAAAAGAAAGAAAATTCATGTCAAGTTTAATGAATTTACTTTATTTTAATAGGTCAAATTCCAACCTAATCTTAACTCTTAAAAACTATTCTGGGCATACCCAGAAGTTTTCCTTTTCCAGTGCTTTTTTTCATTGCTTATAACTTTTTATGTTTTTTAAAGCCTGTTTCAATTGAAAAAAATTTTAATAAATATGTTCATTTTTGTGAAAATTATAAGCAACCGAATTGGATTGGCCATATCCAAATGTGTTGTTTTCATAATGTGGCATTTAAGGATTAATCTCAATCTTAATTTCTAATCTGATACAGGCTTCAGAGCTAATGTCCTATTCTTCCTATAAAAAAATACTATGAAACCTTCAAGCATAACTGAGAGAAATTAATTTAATTTTCATTGTTGTTCTTCTCTTGAGTTCTACATACTTTACTTAAAAATTAAAGAAATTATACATGAATAAATTATACATGAATAAATTTTTGAAATATATATGTTTTAGTATATAGTAGTATCAAATTTTCGAATTGTCAACTTTTACTATTTTGTTTATTACTTAAGGAAGTTTTTTTGAAAAATTTTATCTCTTTAAACATTGAGGTTGTAAAGTAATGACAATTTATGTGTCGATGATCCGACGTAGCGCGCAATGCGAAAGTTTGAGCTATTCGTCTCCGCGAAACGGGGACATCAATAATGTATCGAAACATAATATTCTTACGGACTCCCAAAATCTTTTTCAACTTCCTAATTATTTAAAATTATAAAATAAGAATTAGTCTTGTTAATAAAAAAGTTGTCAATTAAAATTGATCACAATAGTATAAGCGAATATATAAGCGAATTCTAATAGTATTAGCGAATATAAACATACTTCTTTCCATTGTATGCAATGGAATATTATTTTACGAAATATAAATACACGAAAAATGGAGTACATTTTTTTATATAATAGCAAATATTCATTATTTTATTTATTAACTTAATTCAAATATATTGTATAGATATTCTATAATTCTATAATTCTAGAATATTCTATAATTCTATTCTTATAATAGAATTTATATTGTTAAAATAGCTTGCTTTGACATATTTTGATCTAACAAGAACGAAATCATAAAATATTTATATTAAACAAGAAATTTTTTTGCAAAAGATATATGTAGAAGTAGAAAGAGCAAGGCTTACTCACCGTTTAGCTGAAATAAAAGAAGCGGAAGGAGACATTGCAGGTGCTGCAGCTGTAATGCTTGAATTACAGGTATTATTATGTTTATAACGATACTAGACACACTACTCTAATAAAACTTAATTATACAGATTACTAAATAACGTATCGTATAGGTAGAAACATATGGCAGTATGTCACGTCGAGAGAAAGCTTCCCTTATCTTAGAACAAATGAGACTTTGTTTGGCAAAACAAGATTTTATGAGAACTCAAATCATAGCAAAGAAAATTAATGTTAAGTTCTTTAGTGATGAGAATGATGAAGAAACTCAAACATTGAAATTAAAATATTACGAGTATGTATGCAATATTTTGTATTCATATTTATTATACAAAAGTAATAATGAATTACATTTTGTATTTAGCTTAATGATGGAATTGGCACGTCATGAGGGTTGGCATTTGGAATTGTGTCGACATAACCGAGCAGTACTAGAAACTCCTACTATTCGTGACGATCCAGAGAAAAGACGTATTGCGCTTTCTCGAGCAGTTCTTTATCTTGTACTTGCACCACACGAGCCTGAACAAGCTGATCTAACGCACAGATTACTCGCTGATAAACTTCTCGATGAGATTCCCACTTACAAGTAACGATTATGATTACTTTGAAATATTTAAAATATTTATTTCTTATTCTTCAAAAGTAAAAAGTAAAGTAATGAACTACAATCATTCGCAGAGAATTATTACGCTTATTTGTTAACCCTGAGTTGATAAAATGGTCAGGATTATGTGAAATTTATGAAAAAGATCTCAGATTAACTGAAGTCTTTTCTTCTTCGACTGAAGAAGGATGCAAACGATGGACAGATTTGCGAAATCGTGTTGTAGAACACGTAAGTTTATATATTATTCAGAATATATTTAAGAGGATAATGAAAAATATATATCAAGTTATACGATATATATAAGATTATCAATTGGAAATTGTGATTCATAAATAAATCGAGATAAAATATTCTATTCTACAGGTAGATTAAAATTTATATAACACTATTGCTCTCTTCAAATTTCATTGATTATTCTTTTCAAATGTTAATTGTTAAGTCTTTAGAAAAAAGTAAAACTGTATTGGTAAAAGGATTATTTAGTAATAGTTCGAAAAATTTTATCCTAAATTTAAAAAATAAGTGTCAAGGTATAGACTTAAATTTTAATATTACTCATTTTAATTGAATAAAATTTTTTTTTCTAAAAATAAATCAATGTTATTTTGATTTTTATAAATTGCAATTTTATATGGTACAACTTGATATCATAGGATGGTTTTATTATAGGATGGTTAAATTCTTTTTGTTTATATCGTGAATTTTTTACTTATTTTGAGTTAATTTTTTTCTTTAGCAATGTAAATTGTCGCTCTTTTCCAAAATTATAACATAATTAAACTCTATTCAAAATTAATTGAAGAATATAATTTTAACTATTTTCTTCTATAATTTAGTTTTTAAAAAAATGTCAATTTTAATTCAAAGCTTACAATTTAAAGGTATTTTCTTTGATATTTTCTTAAATTAAAAAAATTTTGAATTGAATAAAGTTATCAAGAAATCTTCATGTTTATTCACAATAAGGCATACATTTAGAATGTTTTTTAAAATAAAATCTATTTTTATCTATCTTATTCTTTTTTTATATTCATTTTTACAATATTTCCATTTTTTCCTATTCTGAGAATATAATTTAAAAAAAGCCAGGATAAAATGATTTACAAAAGAACTTAGATGCTTTATACTTTTATTTTAACATATTTGTATATAAAATATGAAATAGTAGAATATTTATTTATCAATAATCTTGCTTTAATAGTTTTATGTGCAGAATGTTTATAAAAAGAGAAACATTTTTACTGTTTTTAGAATATAAGAATCATGGCCAAATATTACACTAAGATTACATTAACTCGCATGGCTGAGTTATTAGATCTTCCGACTGAAGAAACAGAAGCGTGTCTCTGTAATTTAGTAGAAACTGGAGTAATTAATGCACGTACAGATCGTCCAGCTGGTGTAGTCCGCTTTACTGGCACACAAGAACCAGCTGCTCTTTTAGATACATGGGCTGCATCATTATCGAAATTGATGGGCCTTGTGAATCATACTACACATTTAATTCATCAAGAAGAAATGTTGGCCGTTGCGCAATCTTAGAATACACGCATGCGTGCGCGTACACACCACACATCATATTTGTATGTATCGTGTCTCTCTTATGTTATACATTTTATTTCCATTTAAGAATAGATATTTTCATTTAACAATAGTATTGTTATTAGAATTATTAACAAAATATAACCAGAGTGACATGATTTTGAATTATAAAAATGTTTATATTTTTGTGTATTTGTTGTGTATAATTCACACAGCTACTATATCTATAAACATAATATTGAAAATATAATTTCTTTAATATGGAAATTCTTTATATATGAAGATAAAATTATATTACAAATAATTTTTTCATTTATTTTAATGTATCACAATAAAAATAAAAAGTAAATAAAAAAATAAAAAAATAAAAAAAATTTACATATGTACACAGAATAGCTTACTATATCCGATATATCCTATGGATAATAGTGAAACCTGTGATCAAATTTTTGTTATATTATAAATTATAGTGTTTTCCCTTGACTTCTCTTAATTGCTCTTGGCAACTCGGACAGTGAGTTCCAACAAGACTCAGTATAATAGTGATCATTTCATTCTTGTTTGACATTAATGAACAATAATGATGTAATAATGCACCATATCACATCGTATTATGTGTGTTTCTTATTTAGCGTTTTATCTTGGGATACACTGAGTGCAGCCTCGCATTGCATCAGTTACGTGTAAGCACTCAGCTACACTACACTAGAGTGGTGGCACACCATGATGTACACTACATCATTATTACGCTAAAATTCTATTCCCACTTGATTTCCATTTTCAAATTTTAAATGTCATTGGCTCTACACCGTCCCTTTGAGACGGTGTAACAAAATTCCATACACTTCGTGCATAAAATTTGCACTACACTGTTACAATGTAAGTACATACAGTATGGATACTGAACTTTTTATGTGGTCCCCAATTTTTAGTGTGCTTGGGTCGATTTCCAATCAGGAATGTGGCTGCCTTCAGCAAGTTGAAATTGCAGATTAGGTTAAGTTAGGTTAGCTGGATCTCCTCATAAAATATAATTAATCTTTTCGCGTACAATATTGTGTGAGACTCATGGTAAGGAAATCAGGCCAAACATGTGTATCACGGGTAAGAGCCGTAGTACGTCATTCGTACAAAGCTTAATTTTTTTTAATTTGTAAGAGAAAAGTATGACATTAAGGTTAATAAAATTAAGTTTTACTGAAAAAATTAAATCAAATTTTTTCGGAGGCGCTATATTGTGTAGACTATTATATTTAAGTATTCTCATAATAAAATATGCGTGCGTGCGTGCGTACGTGCATTATCAACTTCACATTTAATTACAATTTTCATGCAATATATTATTTTTTCATATATAATTATTCAATTACAATTTTCATATAGTATTTAATCAATTATTATTTTTAATTTATTTATTACTGTTTAATATTATTATTATTAATACGAATATTATTTTTATATAATGAGTTCATTAACATTATATTATTATATAATTCTCTGATTTAAAAATATACTCGCTGTTTTTTTTTATTTATAAAAATCATTCTGCAGCTTTATAAAAACTCAAATTTGTAAGCGGCGCCTTTCCAACCCACAACATGGCGACGAGTCAACATGTGATCTGGGACCTACTACAATAAAAGTGCCAACGCTCAATATCCATATTGTATGTACGTATTATACTGTGACATTGATGTATATTAACGCCATTGTACACTGAAAATTAATTTAATATAAAAATGAAATGTAAATATTTTGAATTATGAAATACATATTTTACGTAATAGTACAATAAAATATATTGAGTATTATACGATTTAATCCATTTCTATGTTTATTTATAAACATATCTTTATGTTATTTTGTGTATGGCAACTTTAATGTGCACTAATACGCACTAAGTGCATCTAGTCGAATCCGCTATTAGTTTTATTTTTTTTTTATTGTTTTATTATTATTTTTATTATTGCAAGATGCTCGATCACGACTTTATTTTACTAACAATGCCTTTATAACCTTTTATTCGTAATTCGCGATATTAGGTTTGCAGGGTGTATGGAAATTGATAAATCTTTCATATAAGGGCAGAATGGACTAAACTGAGAAAAAAAGTCCTCTATCATTTTACAATTGTCGCAATGATTAACGAGTTATTAATTTATGAAAATAGCCAAATTCGCCCAGCCCATCGTCAAATGCAAGCGCGCGATAGGATAGTACCTGCTTCGCGCGGCGAGAAGCGCATCTATTGTTGCTAGGCATGTTGTTTAAAAGTCGCAATTGTCGTCACTAGACGTTACGTCCCTATCGACGCGCGTGATCGCGCCTCACCGCGCTGGGCAGTCCTATTTCAATTCATTCTCCCATTCCCAAGCCATTTCAATTCATTTCAATCCATTCTTGTTTGTTGGAAAAGGATATAATATGAATACGACATGTAACGTTTATTTTTCCGTTTTGACATGTAACGTTTATTTTTAACATCGATAATGTCCGGGTAACCTTTTTTCTTGACCTCAATTATCCTCCTAATTGGAAATATCCCAGCAAATGAGAATGGATTGAAATGAATTGAAAAATGGATTCAAATTTTCAGAAATATTGATTCATGAATGTTAAAATGAATGCTTTTTAATCCTGAATGCATTTCTATTCATTTATAGGAATTGCATGAAGCATATCTCTATGCCTTTCAATCTAAAAATAATATTAGCTTTTTCTGTGCACACAACACACATTGTGAATATAATAATTCAATTCAAAATTTTGAATAGAAAATGTAGTTTTCTATCCAATTGAATTTAATTGAATCCAAAATCCAAAAAAAGTATTCGCTATTTAAAATACGCATTCGGATAGAAAAAAATTTCAATTCATTCTCGTTTGCTGGGATATTATGATCAATATCTTTGATTGCTTTTCGAAGAATCTCATATTGATACTTGGATAGCTTGGCTTTATGCAAGCGCAGAATCAGCATTAAATGTTGTATCAGTCGAATTCGTTATTGATGAAGCAGAAGCGTTACTTCGTTTCTGGAGGTATGTGTTGCGAAATTCTTGAATTATATCTTATTTTTGCATGATTATAGCATTTTTCAAAAGATTTCTTTGATCTACTTCCACTTATTTAAAAGTGGATTTCGATCTCTCAAATTATCATTTAAATTCACTGTAAATATATCTTTCATTCAATGACTGTATTCATGAAGAAACTTCGTTCTACGATGCACAGAATACTTGAATCTTTAATTGAAATGTGGTAAAAATCTTATCTCTTATTAATTTCTGAAACTATTTAAAAAATTTCGTCGAGTATTTTTCGTGTAAAAAATGTTCTAATGAATTAATATGATCCAAGAGAACATCACACAAAGTTAATTATAAGGCACTGCGAAATCAGTCATGATGCAGAAAAAGTACACACCCGACAATAGATATAATAAAAACTTTATAATGTTACTTGCTCTAATAATCTTCTAAGTTGAACACTTTAAAGCGATTTTCAAGATTTACAGCTATTACACTTTTCTTGCGTTCTGTGCCTTAACAAAAATAACAATATTATACGAGAAAAACATCATTGTCACAGTGACTCGCGCCTTCGTGGGTAAAAAACACATTGCTAAGGCGAGGAAGACAAAAGAAGTGCATAAATGCCAATCTCAAAAATCGCTTTAAAGTGATGATTTGAGAGATCAAAGTCCATTTTTAAACAGAAATATGGAAAGACAAAAGAAGACTTTTAAAGATTGCAAAAAGATACAAAATTCAAGAACTCCAAAACGTTTACAAAAACTAACGTTTATAAAAATTGATGCATTTAATTTTCATCATTAACGGATTTTATTATTAGGTGTACAACTTTGCTTCCGCCGTTTTTTTCCGAAATTCGAGGCTTTATTGTAAAAAACTGGTTATACATTTATGATTCAAAGTATTATTCATCGCTGGCCATAACTTTCTCCCACCTTTCGGGTAGTGTACGAATCCCGCGTCGAAAAAACTGGTCATCTTTTGAGGCTATTCACGAATCGATCCAATTTTTTACTTCTTCATAAGACCGGAAGTGCTGGTCAGCCAGGCCGTGTGCCATTGATCGAAACAAGTGATAGTCAGAGGGAGCAACGTCTGGAGAATACGGCGGATGGGGTAGGACTTCCCATTTCAACGTTTCCAAGTATGTCTTGACCACTTTCGCAACATAGGGTCGAGCATTGTCATGCTGCAAAATCACTTTATCGTGTCTCTCGTTGTATTGCGGCCGTTTGTCTTTCAATGCTCGGCTCAAACGCATCAATTGCGTTCGATACCGATCGCCTGTGATTGTTTCAGTCGGTTTTAACAGTTCGTAATACACGACGCCGAGCTGGTCCCACCAAATACAGAGCATGACCTTGGACGTCAAAATCACCGTTCTTGAAGCGTTGAAACCACTCACGACACGTTCTTTCACTAATAGCGGCCTCACCATAAGTATTTGAGAGCATTCGATGAGCCTCAGCCGCAGATTTCTTCATATTGAAGCAAAAAATTAAAACCTCGCGCAAATGACGAGAATTTGGCTCGTAAACTGACATTTTCAATCGAGAATAACTTTATGATGCAGACACAAATCGACTAATGTTTCTATGGGGTTATGTTGACAGATGCCCAAGTTTATTGTATGACGTCTATGATCTATTTATTTCGACCACCACTTACCGCTAAAGTCATCTATAGAAAAACGGCGGAAGCAAAGTTGTACACCTAATAATATAATACTTAATCCTCGGACAGCGGACGTTGTGATACTCGCACGCACAGGACGCAGGGTCAAAAGTGACTCAAGAACGAAATTGTTTTAAAACGTTTGAAAAGCAGTTTTTTAATTATAACATGTAGTAAATTATTTCAAAGAAGGTATTGTAGAAGGGCTGTTGTAGAAGGTATTGTAGAAGGGAAAATAAAAATATATATTTGTCATAGAAACAAATATCCATTTATTTATTTTCTTCACAGTTGAAAAAAGTAAACAACTAACTTTAACTCGCGAGTCTCGCGAGACCCTGCATTCGCCGACAGAAGGTTAATGCTTAGTCTGTGCTCACATTGATAACATAAGCTGTCCAAATATCAATATAAGATTCTTCAAAGCAATCAAAGATCAAACATAATATATTTCCAAATTATCAAAAAATAAGTGAGGCCAAGAAAAAATATTATTCAATATCTTTGTAACGGAAAAATCGGCAAAGTCAGTTTAGGAGAATTTCGGACATATTTCCAGAAAAATTTTGGAAAACTGAAAACAATATTGAAATATTAGAAAAACATACAAAATAGAATAATTATATACAGAGGATTTGATCGAAGCAAAATGATTATATGCAGACATTTTTGTATTTTACAGAGAAACTTCAGATTTAAATTTATTCATGACTTTGATTGTATATATTTATTAATTATGACATCAAAAAACGAAATCAAATATGTCTGGAAAAATTCTCGCTGTCTTCAACAAGACAAAGTTTTATTGACATTCAAGTTAAAGAAAAAAACCAAACTTATTAGATGTACAACTTTGCTTCCGCCGTTTTTTTTCCGAAATTCGAGGCTTTATTGTAAAAAACTGGTTATACATTCAAAGTATTTTCCATCGCTGGCCACTACTTTCTCCCATCTTTCGGGTAGCGTACGAATTCCGCGTCGAAAAAACTGGTCATCTTTTGAGGCTATTCACGAATCGATCCAATTTTTTACTTCTTCATAAGACCGGAAGTGCTGATCAGCCAGGCCGTGTGCCATTGATCGAAACAAGGGATAGTTAGAGGGAGCAACGTCTGGAGAATACGGCGGGTGGGATAGGACTTCCCATTTCAACGTTTCCAAGTATGTCTTGACCACTTTCGCAACATGGGATCGAGCATTGCCATGCTGCAAAATCACTTTATCGTGGCTCTCGTTGTATTGCGGCCGTTTATCTTTCAATGCTCGGCTCAAACGCATCAATTGCGTTCGATACCGAGCGCCTGTGATTGTTTCAGTCGGTTTTAACAGTTCATAATACACTACGCCGAGCTGGTCTCATCAAATACAGAGCATGACCTTGGAGCCGTGAATATTTGATTTGACCGTCGACATGACCGGGAACTCCCAATGATTTTCTGCGCTTGGGATTATCGTAATGAACCCATTTTTCGTCCCCAGTCACAATGCGATGCAGAAATCCCTTCCGTCTTTGCCTTTCAAGCAGCTGTTCACAAGAAAACAAACGCCGTTCAACATCTCTCGGCTTCAATTCGTACGGCACCCAATTTCCTTGCTTCTGAATCATTCCCATGGCTTTGAGGCATTTTGAAATGGCTTGTTGAGTCACTCCCAATGATCGTGTCAATTCTTCTTGATTTTGACACGAGTTTTGCTCAAATAATGCCTCTAATTCTGCATCTTCAAAAACCTTCTCTCTTCCACCTATGCCGGTCTTCGACGTCAAAATCACGTTCTTGAAGCATTGAAACCTCACGACACGTTCTTTCACTAATAGCGGTCTCACCATAAGTATTTGAGAGCATTCGATGAGCCTCAGCCGTAGATTTCGTCATATTGAAAAAATTAAAACCTCCCGCAAATGACGAGAATTTGGCTCGTAAACTGACATTTTCAATCGAGAATAACTTTATGATGCAGACACAAATCGACTAATTTCTATGAGGTTATGT